TGAGGTTTTGACCCAGAAGCAGCCCCGCGACGCAGCGGCTGCACGGGGCCGTACCTCGGAGCAGGCGCAGCGGATGCAGTACATCAGTCCCTGCGGCTCCAGGTAGGGGGGCCAGCTTTCCCCCGGGCTGTACTTCTTGCCGTTGAAATCGCAGAACGTGTCCGGCCCTGAAAGGCAACGGGGAGAAGCTCTGTGGAAAGGGACATCCTTGGAAGAGCTCCCCGATGAGCACAGCAAGGACGACCCAGCGCGTTCATGCGTCACCTACGAGCAGCTGCCAGCTCCACACCATCCACCCAACGCCAACCCAAGACCAGGGTGATGCTACGGGGCCGAATTTCACCCAGGAAGACCAGTGGAATGAGTAGTGGAAGGGAAAGGAGAAGCTGAATTTAGGGGGCATTTTCACAGCTATCCAACAACTCTTCATTTCTAGGCCTGTCAGGTCCTCCTTGCTCACTCGGACCAGGAAACGGCCCACAGTGACCGTTGGGAGTCGCTTCCCATGGTCCCTGTAGGACCTGCTGCAGATGCAGAAAGGCTCTTGGGTGATGAGGGAAGAGCTCAGCCCACTGTGCTGGAGCCAACTTTTTTTATATGACTCAATATTAACACAAATAATTCTTGGGATGTTGAAAAATCGCAGCTGAATCAAAGCAAAATTTTGCCCTGAATTGAACAAAACTATCCAATTTCCCAGTCATATCACCAGGAGAGGAACCAGCTTCTAGCCATGCTCCTAAGGGATCCTAACCCATTGGGATGGGTTTAAGGAATCAAAGCAAAATTTTGCCCTGAATTGAACAAAACCATCCAATTTCCCAATCATATCATCAGGAGAGGAACCGGCTTCTAGCCATGCTCCTAAGGGAGAGATCTCCATGGGATTGGGTTTAACCTGGACAGAGGGACGAGTTGATGCCAGCACAACCAGGGAAGAAAAAACTCCCCTTCCAAGATCTCCTTCCCTGGGTTTTAGCGGATTGGGAGCGAACATTCTCCATTAAAGACCCCTTGGCTACTGACCAACTCTTTGGCAGGATGAGCCCGGCCTGTAGCGGGTTTTGGGGGGACAAATCATGGCCACAACCACCGCCACCACCCACAGGGCTTGGTCCGGATGCCCAATTCAGCCACCCTTAGGGTTTGCACCAAGAAACACCCCTGGTCTTGCGGGAAGGAGCTTCAGCCCCACTCGCTCCTGAGTCAACCCAGGCCCTGTGGCTCCCATCGTAGCCCGGCGGCTGCTCCTGCTTTCCGGCATCGTGTCCCCAGGGACACAGGGAGGCCTCAGCTCTTCTGGGAATGAGCACATGCCTCTCCGTGCCTCTTAGGAATGGTTTAAGTGCTTAGAGCCCTGCTAAAAACTCAAGGTGGTTTAAAAGGTTGTGGCATGGAGGGGATTTGAGATATTTGGGGCGATGATTATGTTGCTCAAAGGCAGCTGAGAGGTTTGTGCTCCCTGAAGCCTTTACGGGCCGTTAAAACCCTTAATCTGCCCTGGGGACAGTGGGGACCTGGGGCCAGGGCTGGTTTTCCAAGGCCTGGAGGCCATCAAGGATCCTCAGCGCTGCCCGGCCTGGTGGGCTCATTGGGATGATCCCAAGGAATCACCTATCGCAGCGGGATAACGGTCCTCACGGCGCTGACAGGTTCTACGTGTGGTGCGCTAGGCTGCAGCTGCACAGGAGGCCACGAGCAGATGCACCTCAGCACGGCGCTTTATTCCTTGAGGGATGAACAAGGGGCGGCAGCAGCATCCTCAGCCCTTAGGAGATATTGTCACCACCAGCAGAACCCTCCATCACCAACAGAAACCTTCATCACCAACAGAAACGTCCACCACCAACAGAAACCTTCATCACCAACAGAAACGTCCACCACCAACAGAAACCTCCTCCACCAGCAGAAACCTGCTCCACCAACAGAAACCTCCTCCACCAGCAGAAACCTCCATCACCAGCAGAAACCTCCATCACCAGCAGAAACCTCCATCACCAGCAGAAACCTCCATCACCAGCAGAAACCTCCATCACCAGCAGAAACCTCCATCACCAGCAGAAACCTCCATCACCAGCAGAAACCTCCATCACCAGCAGAAACCTCCATCACCAGCAGAAACCTCCATCACCAGCAGAAACCTCCATCACCAGCAGAAACCTCCATCACCAGCAGAAACCTCCATCACCAGCAGAAACCTCCATCACCAGCAGAAACCTCCATCACCAACAGAACCCTCCTCCACCAGCAGAAACCTCCTCACCAACAGAAACCTCCATCACCAGCAGAAGCCTCCATCACCAACATAAAGCTCCATCGCTAGCAGAAACCACCTCCACCAGCACAAACTCCACCATCAGCAGAAACCTCCACCATCAAGAGAAACCTCCTCCACCAGCAGAAACCTCCTCACCAACAGAAACCTCCATCACCAGCACAAACCTCCACCATGAGCAGAAACCTCCACCAACACGGAGCAGAGGGCTCTACCCTGTCCCATAGCTCCCCCAGCCTCTGCTGTGTCACCCACCCCATTTCCCCACCTGGACACAACATGAGCTCCAGCAACGGCCCCAACAAGCAGCACGCGGCTAAAACCAGCAGAAACCAGGGGCAGAGAGAGATTTAAAAAACCATCAAAGCTCATCCTCATTTTGCAAGAAGAGTGAGAAAAACACCGTCTTTTTTCCCCGCTTGCAGCATCCGGGTGAATTGCGCAGGGGACGCAGAGAGCTGCCTGCTGGAGGCTCTGGATCATTTTTTCCCTGTGCCAGGCTAATAATTTCATTTTCAGAGGTCAGCCCTTGGCTATCTTCCCGATTCGCTCCCAGTGAAAAGCCATTTGTGGCAGTAAATCGCTCCCGTGCCTTTCAGGCTCCGTATTTATTGCGTCTTCGGCAGCACAGGACTCACGTTGTTTAACTTCTCCCTTGCCAGGGAGGCCTCCTGGGCTCCGCAGCGTTTGCAAGGCTGCGATAGCAGAAATCCAAGCAGATCCGTCGCCTCCTCGGGCTTCATTCCTGGACCGGGAACAGGGGGAGCCCACGGGCCACCCTGCGCCACGTGCGACGATGCAACCAGAATCTCCTGATTTTAACCCAAAGCTTCACCTTTGCAGCTGCGGGAGCAGAGGTGGGAAGGGACAAGGTCCCATAGCAAAAGGAGCTTCCTTTTATCCATAGGAGCAAGACGGGAGCGAAACCATCGGCACCCAAGTCCTTGAGCTGTCGACGAGTGGAGGTTTCATGCTGGTGAAGGAGCCTGGAGCCCAGGGTGCTCCTAGGAGAAGGCCATGGGTTGTCCCCACTCCTATGGGACATGGGCTGCTCCATGAGCAGGAAAAAGCCCAGGTAGGTCTTGTCTACCTGGCAAATAAAAGAGCCTTTCATGTGGCATGGTCTGTACTCTTAAAAATGCCGTTATGGATTGTACATACTGGAAAAAATAATGACTAAAATCCATGGAAATTATTCCTGCAGCACCCAGTGCACCCAGGCATCCAGCTAAGCCCGGGCTGGCTCAGGCCAAACTCGTGCTGGGGACTGTGCCAGGAATGAGGAGTCTGGACATCCCCAGGCAGTGCTTGTGGCTGTGCCCCAGCCCTGGCTTGCTTTAATTGTCACTAATTATCATCAGTTATCACTAATTGCCTCCTGGACAGCACAAAACGGGAGACAAAGGGTGCGGCAGGGAGGCTGCAAAGGGAAGGGTGGTCTTGGCCACCGTAGGGACAACAAGAAGCCATCAGCTTGGGGGCCACCAGGAGATTTAGGAAGATTGAGCATCGGAGCTGGCCCTGGCAGAGGCTCTGAGATGCTCAGAGATGTTGGTCACTCCATCCTGGCCATCTCCTGGGGCTTGGGCACAGGGAAGTGTCCCCGGGAAGTAGATCCGTGTCCCTCTGAGCTCTCCTGCCCGCTGGCACGGCCCATTCCAGGCAGTTCCCTGTGTGTCCCACACATCCGCCGCAGGCTGCAAGGATGAGGACATCCCATTGAGTTTGATGATCTACGGTTGGCTTCAATGATCTTGAAGGTCTTTTCCAAGCTTAGTGATCCTAGGATTCTATCCTTAGGATTCTATCCCCCAAGATCCCTCCACATCTTTCAATTCATCCTGATGCTCAGCCGTGTCCACATCACCGGACACTGGAGGGTCGGATGCTCCATGGAGTCAAGTCCCACATCCACGTCCATGGTAGATCTACACGCACACGGGCACAAGACCCTGTCCCCCTGGATTGGGGTGCTCCAGAGCACCCTGATGCCTCAGGGAGGGTTAGAGCTGCTTTGTCCCCATGTCCCAAGCAGCCAGGTGATCGGATCGCTCCGGATTTATGCCCAGAGGACAAGCACGAGGGGCAGCTGATCCAGTTTCCACCCAGCTTGCGTAGGACAAGCCGAGCACATTTGTGCTCTCTGCCTCACTGCCCCCCACAACCGACTCCTTCCCTGCCCAAGTGCCTTAAGGTTCAAAAGTTTTCCCATCTGGAAAGAACAGGATGAAGCCGAGAGAAACCCATGCAGGTCACTCCAAACCCAGCTCCACTATGAGCCACCAGCGAATCTCCTACCACGGGTCCTGATGCTCCAGGAACCTGTTTTGCTTTTTGCTGCCGGTTCTCCAGCAAAGATCCAAGTCCTTCATCCCACAGGATCGAACTCACCAAGCGCGACAGGATCACCCAAAATAGCCCATTTCTAGGGGCAAATTTGTCTCTTCTGCCTCAACCCGAACCCGAGCGCTTCTGCTCCCGCCTCTTCCCAGCGCCCCAGGGCTCCGCGGCCGGGAGCTCCCTCTTCCCTGTCTCCAGCAGCTCCCCAGCCGGCAGCAGCAGGGATGAGGGATGGACAGGGAGGACAAGGGATGCAGCAGCTTCGGGCTGGGGGCTCATGTCCCCCCTGGGCTCCTTCCCATCACCCTCCGTCCACGCTGCGCATCCCTCTGGCGGGTGGGATGCAGGGGGATGCAGGGAGAGGGGTCCCCACTTGCTGAACGTGCCGGGATGTCCCCCCTGCCCAAACCCACTGGCACCAGTTGGGAAGGAACCAGGTGTCCCCTCTCCAGGCCAGCCCCATTGTGGAGCTCCAGGAAGCTGGGCAATGGGGAAAGGGAGGCCCGGAAGGGCTGGGGGCCCCGGTCCCGGTTCTGGTGCCGGTCCTACTTACGAGCCCGGACACGGCTGCCGGAGGCCACCAGGAGCAGGATGCAGCGCAGCAGCAAGGCCAGGGCGCCCGTGCCGGGGAGCATCGCAGCCCACGAGGGGCCCCGGGGGGCTCGGTCCTGGTTCCGGGGATGTCACTCTCCCAGGGATGCCTTGGTCCCGGTTCCAGGGATGTCCCAGTCCCGGTTCTGGGGATGTCGCTCTCCCGGGGATGCCTCAGTCCTGATTCCGAAGGTGTCCCGGTCCTGGCTCTGGGGATGTGGCTGTTCCGGGGATGCCTCGATCCGGATGCTCAGTGGTGTCCCGGTTCCAGGGATGCCGGTCTCGGAGGTGCTGCAGTCCTGGAGGTTCCTTGGTCCTGCTTCCAAGGATGTCCCGGTTCTGGGGATGTCGCTGTCCTGGGGATGCCTCAGTCCAGGTGCTCAGGGGTATCCCGGTCCTGGTTCTGGGGATGCTGCAGTCCTTGCAGTGCCTCGGTCCCAGTTCCAAGGATGTCCCGGTTCTGAGGATGTTGCTCTCCCAGGGATGCCTTGGTCCTGGTTCCGGGGGTGCTGTGGCCCCAGGACTCCCTCGGTCCTGGTGCTCGGTGTGTTGGTCCCGGTGTTCTGGGCTGCTACGGTGCCGGTGCAGGCGATGCCTCAGCCCCGGTGCTCAGGGTGCCGTGGTCCTGGTTCCGCGGATGTCCTGGTCCCGGTCCTGAAGTGCCTCAGTCCCGGTGTCCGGGGCAGCCTCGGTGCCGGTTCCAGCGATGCTGCGGTGCCGGTCCCGGCGATGACTCGGTCCCTGCCCCGGGGTT